CTGTTTCACATGAAACCTCAAATGCAAGACATTGATTGCATGAGATTAAGTTTGACTGTATGAGTTTGTAAATAGCAACAAGTGCCCTAATGTAGTGTGAACATACTATTTCTCATCAAACTGTGATAACTGAGATTAAATTCAGTATATATACGTCTGCCATATGTTGCCACCCCTCAAAAATTCCTGCCCCCCTCTTGCCACCCCATAAATATTTTTCTAGATCCACCACTGGCGGTGGTGGATGAAAGACTGTGCACAGAGCAGATAGAAATATGGCTTTCCTACATGTTTACATGTTGCTGAACAACTGTATTAATAAAGAACTGACTTTTTTCATGGAGGTTTTATTGCACTTACAGTATCAAGTGTAGCTGTTGTCAGCTCAAGTTATCTTCACTTCCCTGTCTCTACCGCGGCATCTTTACTCCATGTTTGTGTGTTTATGTGTCTGTGTAAAAGCGGCGCAGCAGCCCAGACGCACGGACAGCAGGAGGAGAGGCTGTTGCAGCATGATAATCAATAACACCAAAACATAAAAAAGTAAGCTTAGAGTTGCAAATAAAAAAGCAGGTAACGTTGGAGCTTCTTAATACTACAGTCATTAATAATCTAGCGCCACAACCCATTTACTAGGTTAAATTAGGGCCAGAGGACCCTATTGAAATACAAGGAATAAGTATTATTATTATGTACAAAAGAGTCTCTTGGAGCCATACTCCAACAGGAAGTCAGCAATTTTGTATTTACTGTGCAATTCTGGTGAATTTTGGGCCATTTACAAGGGTCATACTTTAACAAACCCTCCAAGATATATAATCCCTTTGACTTCAAATTTTGTCTGTCCCATTTAAAGGATAACTTCTGTATTTTTCAACCTGGGCTCTATTTCCCCATGTGTATGTGTGCGTATGATTCATGGGTACAACTCGTTCTAAAATTGGTTCAGTATTGAGGGAGGCAGCAGCCGCAAGGTAGATATGGGGGCAAATGCGTCCCGTTTGCGCATTAAAAGTGCTTTTTTTCGACACTGACCAGTTCAGATGGCCAGTGTTATCTTTGTAAATAGCATACTAAGCGTTTCCCTGACCCTTCACCTTCTCCCGGCTGTGACTGCGTCATCTTGCGAGAGCTTTGCTTGTTGCTGGAAGAAAACAGGGTACAATATATACGAGGGCAAAGTATGCAACAGTAAATGTGCGTCTCGGAGACTATTCTAGGTATCAGTATTACATGCATAAAGACATATTAGTTATACTTACTTGATGGATAGTTGACCATTTGGTTCCTGTGGTTTTGGCCGCCTTCTCCAATTTATAAAACCGGGTTTTATTTTTTGAGACCGACCGGACCGCATACTCAGGCAGAACGTACGCAGAGCGGACGCCGCGGAGGTCCGCCCGGTAAAAGTGGATGTCCGCAAGCCCTGTGTGCACAAAGCACGACCACGCGGACTTCGCTCCGCGCACCAGTGTCACACAAAAGACTGTTCGGCATGTATTTTTCACATCGCAGGGATTTTTCACGGACATTTTTACACATAGTCTGCTCCGCTTATAGTACGCCCGAGTCTGTGAGCACCTGTGTCTGCCTCTTCACCAAGCGCACAGCAAGCAGGAGAGAGAGGGGGGTGGGGCGGGGACTGAGCTAGGAGGTGCGAATGCACATGCGCCTCTACTGTAGTCTGGAGTTTATTTAATAGTGACGGGGAGTCGATAATGGCGGACAATTTAGTCTCGACGAAATCAAGGAATAGCTACTACGGCAACACTTTGGCTTTGAACCAGACAAAGGAGGCAACCCTTATTTGCACTGATTGAGTAAGCTGCAAAATTTATTTGTAAGGAATAAAAGAAACAACTTGTTACTGTCACTCTGTTGTCCTATGGTAGTTTTTTATTTTAAATGAGTCAATTGCGCCCCCAAGTGGCGAAAATCCGGTATTACCGACTTGATGCGTTTTTTTGGGGTTTTTTTTACAAAAACCGGACCGTTTTTTTTTTTTCTCATACCGACCCAACCCTGCTCGTTGCAACACAGACATTCTTCCTCTGTGGGCATGGAGTCACAGCAAGGAGCACCACCAGTCTTCGGAGATTCGCGTTCATGCAGCCACTGCTTCACCCTTGTCTGCTCGTTGGCTCTCTCTCTCTATCCTCGTCTGCTCTTCAATTTGTAGGAGCTCCTCGTTCGTATACTCGGGCTCAAATAAGTACGGGTGACCATCGTAATAAAAGGGCTCATCCTCATTCTCGAAATCGGGTAAATATGCAGAAATGACACTGATGCAGTAAAACTCTCAACTGTACGCCGGGACAACCAACGCCACTCTGAGCGGCGCTCAGCATGGCTCCTCTGTTTTCTTCCGACAACAAGCAAAGCTCTCGCGAGATGATGTCACAGCCGGGAGGAGGTGACGGGTCAGGGAAACGCTTAGTATGCTATTTACAGAGATAGCACTGGCGATCTGAACCGGTCAGTGGCGAAAAAAAGCACTTTTAATGCGCAAACTTATACAGGACGCATTTGCCCCCATTACCGTTTTAGCTCGTTTCGCGGCTCCCAGCTGCATCCGCCTCCCTCAATACCGAACCAATTTTAAAACGAGTTGTACCTATGAATCATACGCACACATACACATGGGGAAATAGGGCCCAGGATGAAAAAATACCGAAGTTATCCTTTAAAGACCTTCAACATGAAAAGTTGTTAAAAGCTTGAGTTTCTGTCAAACTGTGTGACTGTGGCGTGGCATCAAATTTCCATGTTTCGCCACAAAACAAGAAGTGGTTTGTAACTCCCCTGTAGATGTTCAAATCTACCTCAGACTTCATATGTTTGATAAGTCACAGCCTGAACACATCTACATGCCAATATTTAGTTATTTCCTGTTGCCAGTAAGTGGCAACAGAAAAACAGGAAACAGGTATTTTGTTCAACAGTGTTGCCACAATCCCACTTCCCTGTGCAGTTTCACAATGCACAGCTGCATCAGCCAGTGCCCTGCCAGTACCCACATCAAGCACAAAGGTGAAAGGGCCTGTTCATCACTGCTTGCCGCTTTAATTTTAGTTCCATTTTGTGTTTTTCCTTATGTAGCATAAAGGGACAACAACTGCTTTTGTTGTCAACTCTACTTTGTACAATGACAATAAATAAATAAAAACAACCTGAATGATTAAATAACAAAAATATGAAATACTATTATCCATCCCTTGATGCAATACTTTTATCTACAATGACAATCAAACTCATTATTTATAGACCCAAATGGTGTAAAAATGTTGTAGCTTGTACCTTTATGGGGATCAAAACCTATCTGGAATTAATATAAGCCTCAGCTACCTCACCAGGTGTATGAATGTAAAAAAATGTTCTTCAAAACTGGGAGAAACAATGAGGATGCTAATAAGAACATGAGAGCATCTATTTTAACTGTTAAATGTGTAGGCTATCTGCAATAGACAGGTAGTTGTTCAGTTGTTGTGCATTGTAATGATACGCTGGTACATACAAATAATCAATACTCCCTCCACACAGTTGTGAGAAACAAAGCACTAAAGCAATATCAAGCTAAAACCAAGTGACGTTAAGCAGTTGCAGCTCCTCATTATGGGGATAACAGCTGGTATTCACTGACTGTATAAATGTCTTATGCCAGGTACACACTATGCGATATCAGCCCGCTTGTAGCCCGACACAGCGAGGTACGGTGGGCATGGATGGTAAACGCCAATGAGTGTTGTAAGCTTTCCAATCCACAATCCATCGTTTCATCTCATGTAGAGTGTCATAGTTAACGACGTTCAAAGCCACGTCTGAGACGCCTCACAACGATCAAACAGAAAGTCCAGCATGTTTGATTTTCTTCTTTTCATTCAAGACTGCTCCCGTCACAGCCGTCACTTTGACCATAAGGAATACAGAGCGATAAGCTGCCGTAGACAACTGCATGACAACACCAGCCCAGGGGTGTTTGATATTTCCTCTAGGGATGTTACCACACAGAGTAAAAAGGGGAAAAATGATGGTGATAAACAGCAGAACCACTTTAGCAACCCGGTGAGTACTGTCATTAGCATGAAGTTAGCAAACAATGTTACTTCTTCATAATGGAGATGGACATTAAGTAAGAAAATGTAAAAATATTGGATGGGGCTTTTACTCACCACAACTGCAGAGGCTACGAGCTTCATTTGAAACAGACTACCTTATAAACGGGCCGTTATTTATTATTCCCTCTGTATTTGTATATTTTTACTTTTTATCTGCTCCCGTTTGCCTTGATAAAGTTAATACATCACATCGTCATTTAAAACTCAACACTTCCTGTATCCGTTTCAAATTAAAAGCCCCTTATAACTTCGGTTGAGAGAATCTCTTAATTTTCTAAATAGGCTTTTATTGTGAAACATTTGCAGGAACTTGTTGTGGAGGATTCAGTGACTTGTATGTTTGCCTAGGGTACTTCAAATGTAGCTCCTGCCACCTGCTGGCACTTTTTCTCTTACTACAACAACATTTCAGCTGGCACATGAGCAACCAAAGTGACTGGAATAATAGTAATAATAATAAAAAATAGGACAAGAATAACCTGATGACATCATTCACATCATGATTGGTGTGGACCATCGTGTAGTCTGTCAAGTCACGGCAGGATTTTATGACTCCACAATCGTGTAATGTGACATAGTGACTGTCGGAATGGACAGAAATGTTGCATAGTGTGTACAAGGCATTATGAGCTAACATTACTCCAGAGAGACTGGTCACACTGCTAACAGCTGGTGCCATGTTTGATAAACTTTTAGCGTAGTGCTCCATGTTCCCAGTGCTCTTCACAATTTGGGCTAAATGCTTCCCTCTACAGAGAAATGCTACCCAGAGTTAAGTGGCAAGTTGTTCATGTATGTTTTTGCGTCTGTTTTACATTCACTGTCTGTAGCACATTCAGTTTTGAATTATAGCCAGTGCTGGCAGTAGAAAAAAATGTGCCTTACCTATTGTTTTTGGCAACACATCGACATTGGCAGGTCCTGGTGCCCGAATGTAGACTTTCAAGTTGACATCCCTAAGAGAAGATCCACACGATAAATTATGTCTTACACACACTACAACATTAACAACATAAATACAACAATACTGGACAAAATCTGAAATCATCGTATGAAGTTAAAACTACAAAAATCAAACACTACAATAGGAAACAACTACGTAAGAGTTCATTTTTAGCTTCTAAACATCCACTTTGTGAGTTAACTCTGCACTAACTAATATTTTCATCTAAGCAATGGTTCCAGTGACTATGTGTAATGTGCAAGGTGCTGCTTGCAGTGCTCAACACACAGATAATTATCACTGGAGTTTGCAGTTACCCTCAGCTCTAATGTTGTTTTGGTTGTACAATCTGCAATGTTGCAGACCTAAACTGTATGCCATTGCTGTATCATATTCCGGTTTAATTCACGTCAACCGGAAAAACCGGAGGAGGAAAAAAAAAAAAAGCTTTTCACATCAGTGGCGTGTCAAGGGACTATATTCAACTTATCTTGCATTGTAACATGCATTATGACAAGTTAATAAGATTTATGTTTGTTTATAAATGAAGTGGAGGAGCCTACAAGTGCTCTGTTTAGTTTGTCTCAGAGGCTTCAGAGGGACTCTGCAGCTCCACTCAGCTGTCTGCTGCTGCTGCAAGAGATCAAATTTCATTGGGGGCGGGGAAAAGTGCGAGGGAGTCAGCAGTCATTCAGTTTGTTGCCCTAGTAACCCATTTCCACTTAAGACGTTCCTGGTATTATTTGGGGGACTGGAACTACTACAGGAACGTCCTCTCGCTCGGCCCTCTCAACCGCCGTGTCTCCACTGAGAGAGCGGAGTCGGAGGAAGGTTCCTTGGTGTCCTTCTGCGTCTTCTTCTTCTTGTGTAGCCTTGTGTGTATTGGCAGTTAATACAGCATTACCACCACCTAGTGGATTGGAAGCGTATTACACCTATAATGGGCTTTTATTGGGAAAAATAGCTCAAATGCGACCCCCAGTGGTACAATTAGGTATAATTCGATATATCGGTTCGGTTAGATATTTGGCTTTAAATCAAACCGGTTGGAAAATTTTCAAACCGGCACAAGCCTAGTGTGTATCTTAAAGTTTGTGAGAAGACCACATGTAAAATAAAATGTAAGACATTACAATAAAACACTGACTAACAGCAAATACTATCCAGTTTTCCCTATGAAAGTCAACTTTACATGTTCACATATATTGTATAAGAGGCGGGACCAGGGGCGGACTGGGACACAAATTAAAGCCCGGGACATTCAGGCACACCGGCCCACACGTTTCTACCTATAATCCTCTATATGCTTGTACACACTACACAAACGCTGTCCTCAGAATCAACTGCATAAGAAAATCAGCAGTTATTGTTTAATTCCAGACTATAAAATAAATGCAATAATGAATTGGCCACAAATGGCTATGTGCTTATGTCCTGCCCAGTCCTGCTCTTGTATTACATAACCCCAGTTTATATCTCCATGGCTCACAGCCATGAACTAAGGAGGTATAAATTGGGCAATAGGCCCTATAGTCAACTTTTAGTCAACTTATTACTACAACAAAAAAATCCCACTTAATACTACTAAAAGGGTTTTCCTCTGGCTAAAATGTAATGCATAGTAAGCTATGCCTTCACATTGCACCTGTCATATTTCTGGTCTCATCCTCCTCCTCATCACGACTGGGGTTAGTCTGTCCCTCAGCTTCATTGTCCTTGGGACTGGGAGCACCACTTAACGTTAATTACATGCATCCACAGGAAAAAAGCAAGCACATATTTTCTGTTAGTACAGGTTTAAATTATAATGACTTACAATACCTAATAGGCTAGTTGGCCTCTTGAACCAGACACCTAGAAGAAATACGCAATTCGCCAAAGTCAACCTTGCACATTACACACTAACATTAATACACCTGCTATAATGGCACTGTTGGCTCCAGCTCCATCTCCGTCATTAGCAACACCAGCGGCCTCAGCCCGTCAACCAATGCCGCGGCCAAACAGGTCGGTTATTTTGGAGCACTTTGCTGCCTCTTCTTGTACAGAAGATTTTTTATTCAAGTTTTTTCCACGCCACCCTTTCTTGTTTTACTGACTTTATCCATGTTTTCTGTCTACGGTCAAACTAGCCTGGTCTGCCATGAGTAATGACTGATGACTACAGCTGAGCCAGTCAGATTTCAAGAAAAACCAGAGCCTCTTTCGTATTGGAGGAGGCCGCTCTTATGTCCTCCTTCAAGCATCAAAACACAAGATTGACACCTACATTCCCTCTGAACATCTCACAGCAAACAAACAACATGGGAGGGACGTGCATTACAGTACTGACAGCTAGCAACTAGCTTGACATTCACTAGTCTCACCGGGCCACTTGGTGACTGCCCTCATGAAATGCCCACGCGCATATGTTCGCTTCCCCAAAAAAAAAATTTTTATCATTGGATCTACACGATTCACGTACGTCACCTATTTTGTATTCAAAACGGCGAATTTCGCCGAAAGGTGAGCAATTTTCATGCCTGGACTGATTAGTTTGATTTGTATTATTTTTAGAGCATCAAACATTATTAGATTTCATTTTAACTGCCTACACTTATAAACTTCTGGAAGTTCCCATCAAGGAGACACACAGGTAGCATTGGATGTATGTCATTGGAAGTTAAACAAAATGCCAGTCCTGTCTCTCTGCTGCCTCACCTTTGAAAGAGCTTTGTCTCATTGGCCTCAATGTTTACTTTGTATCTTGCCCTGGAATGGTTGATCCTGGAGTCACAGCTCAGCTTCTTTGGCTTGTAGCAGAACCAAGGCTCGCCTGTACGGACGTCAGTGTAGTTGCACAGCGGCTGCTGGGTTGGACGCAGGCAGACGTTACAGTCAGTAGTTTCAGAGAGTGAGCCTGAGCGGAAGAGGCTGTGGAAGTAAATCCTGTCAGGATGTTCTCTGGTCAGCCTGCTCAGCACAGTGATAGCCTCACTAGGATGAACCATCGTCACCTGTTTAGATAGAGAATTAGAGTTTTCACTAAGTCCAATCACGTTCACTCATATCAATAAAAGACAAATAAAGTGAATACTACTTAAAGCCGCATACTGTGAAACGTTTTAAAAAATCATTTCCTCCAAAACCAGATTGACTTGGGATGAGAATCTCCAGAGAACTGTCCATTTACTAAACCCCTCCCCCAAATGGCAATTGTCCAATCATAGCTTAGCAACCGCAACTAGGCATGGCAGGTCTGTCAAGCTTTGGATTTCTCCATATATTGAAGTAGTGTGCATGGGGCTGTAGTAACCGGGATACTCTGCATTTAAAGTGTTTAAAGAGGATTGTCCTTTTTAAGTTTTTTTGAAACGCAAAAACACATATGGAAAAGTGCAACAAATTAATTAATCAAGACTATTAAAGGTTTGTTGTTTTAAAACATGTCTACTGGTGACAACAAAATTTCAGCTCCACGAGTTACTGTTTTCATCCAACTCACAGAGCTACAGTATTAATTAGCAAGCTACAGCTGATAAAACCTATTAGTGACAGTTTGCAGCCAAAAGATCTACAGTTGACGGCCAGAAATGAGACCCTGCTTTTGTATGAAATGAAACAGTCCCATTGTTTCAAAAACGTGTGGTAAATCTGTCATTGTTATTACAAGCTGCATCTGTGCTGTTATAAGTAAATGTTAACAGGTGTAGCAACAGTAACTAAAAGGGCTGGAGCTTGGTGAATAATCATTTAGAAGACAGATTTAACACCTGCAGTACAACCACATTTAACATAATAGTATTTAGCATCACCTCAACCTGCGCGTCTCCTTCCCAGGGTAAAGAGAACACAGCAGAGTAGCTCCCATTGAGATGATCCAACACTTGCCCAGCTACACCTGCACCAAGCTTCAGGTTGCGGAGCCGGGCGAGTAAGAAGTCCCCCCCATACTTCTTGGGATGACCATGGAAGTCAGACATTTTTATCATGACCTCCAGCTGATCCCCTACATGCCACTGTCCTCCTCCCCTCCTTGGGAGAATGGTGAAGGTGCTGTGAGCTGGATCACTGGTATTCTCCAGGGAAACAGGAGCTGGCAAAGGTGGAGTTTCAGGCCAAGCAATGGAGTCTAGTAGGAGGCGTTCCTCCAGAGCGTCCTCAGGGGAGAGTGGCTGGAAGGTGCAGAAGCTGTGATTCATGTCAGGATCAGTGGAAACTTTTTGGACGATGATGGTGGAGTTCACTTTGTGGTGAAACTGGCAGGGTGTCAGGAGAGAAATGGTAACAAAAATGCATCAATTAAGTACACAGAAAGCAAATTTCCTAAATAAAGCAAAAGGGTCAAGAAGGCCCAAACTCAAAGTAACTGAATATATTTGGGGGATTGATAAGAACAGTTGATCTGTTAGCTGGAGGAATCTCTACCTTTCGCAACTTCTCCTGTGGTCCTTACTCTGTTGTTGGTTATTGAGCCATGGAGAGAATGCATTTTTTAAAGCCATTCAAATTCAAAGGGTGTGTGTGTGTGTGTGTGTGTGTGTGTGTGTGTGTGCATTGCAGGTCTTGTTCACTAAAGTTTCATTTTATTTCATTTGCCCAGAAGCCCTTGACAGAGGAAGATTTTCATGGCCAAAAGATGCACTGGATTTTGTTGCATACACAACTGAGCCACATTCAAAGTGCAAAACAATATTTTTACAAACTCCACTGATGAAGAGAATCCAGGTAAAAACCATTAAACCTCATTGATTTTTCTCTCATTAATCTTTACAGATCACAGTGGAGGAGAAGGTAAAATGAAGCTGATGATTAAGGAGTAACGACTGTGCTCTGAAGTATGTGTTGTTGGTTATGTTATCTGTGACCACACCCAGTGATGTCATGATGTCAAAACAAGATTGTCAGAGTGTTGGGTTGCTTTTTTTCATATTGCTGTGTTTATACAATAAAAATCTTTAATAAGATGTATGATAAGTGCAGGATCTTTTACACACAGACTCTGAAAAAATAAAATCATTGACAATGAGTCTGGAGTAGGAAGCAGTTTTCGCAATTGTGTTATTTTTCATTGTTTTGCCCTCCACTCCAGTTTCTTTTTAAGGTGAGTGTGTGAGTATTTGACCTGAAGCTGCTTTGATATTGTTGACAATATTCAGAAAGATTGTAACAGTTCAAATCTTAAGTATTTCTTTTTAATATCAAATATTCATGACCAAACAGGAAAAAAACTATTTTGATCAGATCTGATTGACATTGACAACTGTCATCAGATTTTGATTCAAATGTTGATTTGTTTATGTGCATGATTGGTGCATGTAAGTATATGGCATCAGCTTGTTCAGACTGAGCCCTGCCCAACTCAAACCACTGAAAAGAGCACAGAGGAAAACAGAAATACAGAAATCTCTGATGGGAAGCAACCAAAAAGTAGGACAGAAAACACTGAGGATTTTTATCTTGTCGGGGGTTTACAGAATATTGCCGGCATAATCACAGGACTGGGAGGAAAATTAACATTTAACTCAAACTGCATTTAATTACAGTGAAGCACATTACTGTTATCTTGAATCACAGTGAAACACATATTTAAAAAGTATACCCTGAAACCTGACCAACATTAAACATTTCAAATGGGGTCCATCATTCAAGTGATCCCACTAAAAACAGGTTCTCACCTCCAGAACGTCTATGTTGTGTAGCAGTAAGATTAAGACAGCCACGGCCAGAACGAGGAGGATGGTGCTGTACTGCCTTCTTGTACAAGCTCTGGCCTTCATGACAGTCCTGATCTATGGCTGTAGCACAACACTGTAAGCACTTCCTCTGGTACTGGAAACATAAAAGACAAAGAACAAAGAGGTAACTGAAACCTTGTAATGCTGAGACTTGAACCTAATTGTAAAATTCTCTCTATACAAGTAGTGTGACATGTCCAACTTTCAGCTATCACGACTACATCCGGTCTTACAGGTAATTCCTTTGATCAGCCATCAATCAAATTCACAACCAAAGACAGCAGCCTCTCTGTCTCTCTTGCAGTTTAACGCCAGTCATTAGGTGACCACATAATGAACACTGCAACATCATGTAAGTATTTGAATAATACAGTTGTTACACCCCTGAAAAACAGGTCGTAAGAATCACAATGAGCACTTAACTCAAACAATTCTTCTATGTAACTATTTACAAAGAAGTATGGGAGAAACATCTTTGTGTAGAGAGTACACACTTTTTCAGCTAGCTTGGTAAATACACACAGTATTTACCAAAGGCAAACTCCTGCTTGGTCAACTATTATACAGCAAAACTTCTTAACCTCAATAAACTCTCACAAAGGGTCCCCAAAGTGCATGAAACGGTGTTATTAATGCTGATAACAGTAAAAAAGATACCACAACATGTGAGTTCACAGTTTATACAAAATGGCGGTGCCACTCTGCCTGGCTGCGGGTTGGTCTGTGCTACAAAGCGGGAGAGGGACCCAGCTGCAGACATGATGGCGGACATGGGCGCCGCCATATATCCAATCCATACCGGAAGTTGGTCTGTGTGTGTATTATTCTCCGCAGAAGAAGAGGAAGAAGACAACGGAGAGGATGAAGAGAAGAATGCAAACAATAGGCTCGTTCGAGATGAACTGCGCCTCGCCTGGAAAGTAGACGAGAGCAGGCGGCCGCAGCGGGGGGCGGTGACAAAAAGCTGCGGTGAAGTCAGACAGTTTCCAGCAGCCTTCAGTCCGTACAGGAAGTCACAGACACACTAACATCCTGTCTGGAATGATGTCAGTTCATTAAAAAAGTGATCAGACCCATATATCAGTTTGTTTTCACCATCAGTCACACAACATGTTTTTTGTTCACAGAATAAACCTTCAGGTCAGACAAATACAATCTTAATCTCTAAAATTCAACAAAAATGAGTAGTTTATCTAAAACGTCATCTCGTTGAGTTGACATCTAAACCAATCAGCTGTTAGATCAGGTGAGAGCCAGGCACTGCAGTTGGTGGAGAGCAACTGCAGTGCCTGGCTCTAAAAACTGCGGCCGCCTCACTCTCGCGGCTTTATCGCCGTCCACTTTTGTAATACGTCAGAGCAAGTCGGGATGAAGTCGGACACAAAACTAACCGGCATGCACTGTGCGCCGATCGCCGGTGATCGAATCTGCGCAGGACTGGCTCATCTCGAACGAACCTAATACACGTACGACCAAGAGAAAGAGCGGTAAGGGAACGAGTTTTTTGAATTAATTAGACAACTTTATTGTCATTGTACATTGTACATTGTACAATGAAATTCTGTTCGGCACTTAGCACTAGCAGTACTAGCTAGTAGCTAGCACTAGCATAGAGTACCAAGCCGCTGCGTTTATATGCGCCGTCATCTTCATTATATTTTAACACGTGTGTTATGTTCTCTAAGATGCAATTTTACGTAATGTATCGAATTATAAGGGGGACGTCTGTGTGGGGAATCTTGGTATGCACAAATTACTACCACCGGATGGTGTTGTTAGCTACATTTGTCGTTTTTTTCCCCGTTAAAGGGTGTTTTTTTGGGGGGAGTTTTTCCTTATCTGCTGTGAGGGTCCAAAGGACAGAGGGATGTTGTATGCCGTAAAGCCTTGTGAGACAAATTGTGATTTGTGATATTGGGCTTTATAAATAAAATTGATTGATTGATTGATAAAAACCAGGGCATGATTGGTATTGTAGTGAGTGACGTTGCTAGGAACTCGGTGCGTTGCTCTGGAAGAGTGTGTTGGCACTGAGGGTGATGAGCCAAGTGATTGCAGCTGTGAGTGTGGCAGGTAAGAGTGAAAAGAGGGGGAGAGAGGGGCGGCAGTTGTCTCTGGGGAGCGGAGCTTGGTGAGTGTTACCGGGCTAAAGCCCAGCCAGGCAGTGATTATTGTGCACTCGATCTTGGGGGGAGGGTGTTCGCACGCTGTTTAGGGCTGCCAGTGGCGAAGATAGTCAGCGGGGAGCAGGGAGAGGTTCCTGAATCCGACAGGGACACGGGGAGGATAGTGGGGACCATAGGAGTGCTCCTGTCCGCTCTCCAGCCATGTGTAGAGGCTCTCCTGTAGCCTGTGCAGTCGCCTCGCTGGACTGGCCGGTTCCCCTACCACAGTTAGTGCCAGTGGCCGTCCCGCGCCAAAGCTCAGATCCCGGGGGAGGGTCTCAAACCCTGGGAGAGATAAGTAGCTTTTAAACATCATTTGTCTGTGTGTTAAAGTGTTTTCTTGTGTGTGTTATTGTTAGTGGTTTTAACCAGAGCAGTATTTCACTCTTGAGCCGAGCGTGCCACAGGCGTATCCACAGGTGCCTTAGGGGGCCCGGGGCCCATAGCCCACAGTGTGATTTGATGTGTTTTGTAGTGCAATATGGTGACATGCCCTGCGGGGGCTTATCCTCAGTGTGAGTTGCAGTGTGTTTACTGAGTTGCAGTGTAGTGAGAGTTTTGCAGTGCCTTATGGGGGTCGTTGGCTTGTGCCCTTACACATGTATAGGCCCGTTTCCACTGCAGGAACTTCGGGGTAATTTTACGGGGCCGGGGCCGTTGGTGCGTGTCTCCACTGCAGGAACCACCGCCGAAGGACAGAGTTCCGGAACTTTTACAGGGGCTAAACAAGTCCCTGCCTCGGAGTAGGTACTCAGGACGGCCCCGAGAGACTCCTGGCTGGAGCTTGTGCTGATTGGATATACTCAAGGAGGGATGTGATGTCAACAGAAAGCAACAAAATAGCCGGCATTTTTAAAACTCAGCAGACAAGGGTTAGCTCGTTCTTATAGCTTCCGCCGCCATGTAAAAACACTCACTAAATGGCCCGTGAAAAAAATATTTTTTCCAGCGGATATCTTAGTTACAACATGATTGAGCTAGCAAAGCAGTTTTGTGTTGCTATGTGTGGTATTTATTCAGTTTTGGGAAATCACGATGTCTAGAAAGCATCAGCTAACAGCAGCAGCAAAGCTAACATCAGGACGTCATCTGTTAAAAGCCTCCCGTTGTCAGATACGACATGAAACTACTTCAGATAGCTCAATCATGTTGTAACTAAGACATCTGCTGGAAAAAAAAAATTTCACGGGCCATTTAGTGAGTTATTACAGACACCGCTA